GTACAGATATATATATATATTATTTTTAGTTTTTTTTAAGGTAACGTTGTAGTATTTGTTTGGAGGAATATAAGGAAGGACAAGAATTACGAGTGCTATTTTGTGGACATGAATTTCATCCAAAATGTGTTGATCCATGGTTACTTAGTAACAGGTAATAATTTAATATTTTTATTTAATTCATATATCATTTTAATAATAATTAGCAATTGTATAGGAATAATTAAAAAATCATTTAGCATAAATCATTTATGCTTACTCATTAATTATTTCATTCAGAATATTTTATCCTAAATAATATAAATGGCAAGGAATTCTTTTTTTTTTTGCAAAATATTAAATTATTTTTAATAAATATAATATTATACATTTACATATTCCTTTTTTTCGATTTATTTAATCAATTAATTGATTTAATTATATTTGTTTATTGTTATTTCAATTTAATTTCAAAATTTAAATTTATGTGTATTATTGTTGCTAAAAATTTTCGAAATTTTTTGATTGAACTTTTTTTTTTTAAACCAAAAATTTGGTATAAATATATATCAAATTTATAAAATATTATCAATCGATAAAATCATGATAAATGATAAATGATATTGATTTTTTCTTTTTCTTATAGGTAATATTTTTATTTTTTATTTTTATTTTTTTTTTATAGGCGTTGTCCATTATGTCAGTATGATGTTGTATATAAACAATATCCTAAAACAGAAAATAAAACGAAAAATTATCAAACAAAGTAAGTTTTGTATTTTGTTATATGTTATCAATGATTATCATTATTTCTTTACAAAGATTTATTGATAATCATTTATGAATCATTGCATCTGTTAATGATATTCGATGATAAAAGAATTTATGCAAATTTTGGAACATAAAAAATTTAAAGATTACTTAACATAGATTAAATAATTTGATTTAAGAACTCATATTTTCTATTATCTTCCAATTACTATATTATATCATTAATAAAATTTAAATTATCAATATTCAATCGTTAAATCTCTCATTTTCAAATTATCATTATTTGCTTATTACAAATCAAATATGAAATTTATAGAATGAATAATTTCAGTTCTCTATCAGTATGGGATTATTCATCAAATGGTCTAAATGTACCATTATTACCAATTTCAATGGAACATAATGATACTCCTACTACTACTACTACTACTACTATTACTCCTATTATTACCACTACTACTACTACTACCACTATTACTACTACTACTACTGCTAGTAGTAGTAGTACTACTACTACTACTTGTACTACTGCTACTAATGCTACAATCATTAATTCTAATACAGCTATTCATCATACCTTAACAAATGCTTATATGCAAATACAACCTGAAATTCAAACTTCAGCAGAAACAAGTAGTAGCAATAATACAATTGATTCAACATTACGACATCATCATAAAGGAGGAGGAATATCAAAAATGGATGATGTATATGCTTTTTTCTTTTCTTCTTTTTTTTTTCACTCATTAATTAATAATAATTATAGTAAGGAAAGAATAAAAAAGAAAGTTTGTAATAAATTAATTAATTTTTAAATTCATTAATTTAAAATTTTATCATTTTATCCTTTCATTGCATTATATCTTTCCTAATTTAATGCCTCATTTAAATTTATATAAATTCTAATATTTTTAATTAAAGAAAATAGAAAGATATTGAAAAAAAAAAGAAAAAAATTTGATGTTAAATAACAATAATAAATAGCTCATTAATTAAATATTAATTTTATTAAATATTTACATCCTTCTTTCATTTATTCATTTCATTTAAATTAAAATTATAAAATATTTGCTTATATGTAATTCTTTTAGGCATATAATTTTCCTCTTTATCTTGGTATTAATGAATCATCACCATCACCATCATCATCATCATCATCATCATCATCATCATCATCATCATCATCATCATCATCATCAACAACAACAATAACAACAACAACAACAACAACAACTGTTTGTCCCCAAAATAATTTAATTGGATGGGATAATAATCGAAAACGAAATAAACGAAATATGATTAATATAAAATCATCAAAGCATTACATACAAAATAGATCTCGATCATTATTGGATACAAATCAACGTAGCCAAGTTCAAAGGCCATATAGGCCAATTTATGCGATGAATTTGGCTAATACTATTTCTACTTCTACTTCTTCTTCTTCTTCTTCTTCTTCTACCACAACAACTACTGCTGCTATTATTGATGATGTTTCGACTACTTTGAAAGAATTACCACAACAATCAAAGCAAATTTATGAAACTATATCTGGGTATATAGCCTAAGGCTCTTTTTTTTTTAATTGTTTCATTTTTTGTTAAATTAAAATTTTCATAAATTGTATGAAATTTCATTGTTAATGAATATAGCATGAATCATTCTTTCATTTATCACGATCATTTCAATATTAAATTAAAATATAACTGTTATAGTTTTAGTCAAAATTTTGTTAAAATTCTTTGTTAAATTTAAAACCAATAAAATTAATAAAAATTTTAGGAAAAATAATTGTAATATTTTTAGCTATTCATCAGATATATCATCATTTCCGGAAACGGATCAATGTAAATTATCAGGAATAAAAGCTACGATAAGGACCATTTCTCGGCATTATTCTCCGGTTGAAAATATATCCAATCGGCAATTTTTGGAATCTAACGAACGTGAACAACAACAACAACAACAGCAACAACAACAACAACAACAAAACAACAGCAACAACAACAACATCATCATCATCATCATCATCATTATCATCATCATCATCATCAACATCAGCATCAGCAACATCAACAATTAATCAATTCAAGAAAAACGCATCAATCTGCAAAATCTATATCAAAATCTCCTGTTACAATTCCATTTCAAAGGATCTCATTGGAAAAACACCAAATTTTATAAAATTCCTTAAATGATATTATTCAGAAATTGCAAATTTATAATGAAATTACCAAACTGGAAATAATAACTCAAAAAAAAACAAAACAAAAAGACTTAAATTATTTACTATGATGAAAATTACATTGGTTTGGTATTATCAAAGTGATAAAATTATGATAATAGAATTAATTGTGATTTAGTAATGTATAACTTGAGATAGTGTCAAAAGAATTAATTATTTAATAATAAATATAATTAAATAGAAAAGTAATTTCAAAAAATATTTAGGAGGACTTTTTTCCTTTTTTTTTGTCCATTTATTTCACTCAGTTATTGTTTTTCCTTTTTTTCCTTTTCTTTTTTTTTTGTATATGTATTTAGTGTGATAAACTATTCATCCAAACTTCTGATTGTTAAAACAAAAAGTTTAAATTCATTTAAAAAAAAGAAAAGGAAATAAATAGATTAATTAAATTAATTTCATAATGATAGATTTAAATTATAGATTAATAAATAGGAAGAAGCATTATAATTAGTTACTAACTACCTTTGATGTATGTTTTTTTTTTTAAACTAAAATTTTACCAATTTTTTTTCCTTTTTTGCTCAAAATTAAAGTTTATAATCAATAAAACATCAACTGATTAATTAGTATTCAATAAGCATTGATTAATTAATTAATGTCTAAATGAGCAACATTGCAATATTCGTTGAAAATTGAAATAGATAATG